CGAGCTAGCTGTGACGGTTCATTTCTGATCCGGTAAGATCAGTGGTGCCGTCTGTGGAATCTTGCTTCCCCGTCTTCTATTTACTTGAGACTAAAGCTAAGTAATCCCCGACTATCATGGCTGACTAGACTCCAGAGAACATGAACGTCCATATCATCGACGTCAACAACAACACTGCCGACAACAATGTCGACCTCGACAACACCGGTACCGCCATCCATAACACAACCCCCGATGTTAATATGCCCGGGCCTTCTAACTATAGAGATGGAGCAAATGCTTCGTCATCATCACTGCCTCATCGACTTGAAGATGATCGGCCACCTCCCCAGAACTACCAACACGTCCAGTTCCATGAGGTCCCCGTTTCGGTCAGAGCAGACGCCACGACCAGGGCACTATTCGCGGCAATAAATCAGACCAACTACTTGATCTTCGCCCAGGGAGAAAGACTGAGGGCGCTCGAAGACGATCGAAGACCCCCCAAGAAGACACAGGAGACCTCAATCTCCTCCTCCTTGACAAGCAGAGGAACATCCCCAATCTCCCCCGCAGAGACGTAGTTGGGATATCTCTCGAAGCCCGTCTCCTCGACCAATCAGGCGATGGCCCGCATTAGAAAGGAAACAACCCGTTGATACGGGAAGGCGCGATCACGTCCCCTCGCGTCAAGAACGAAGACCCCCTGGAGACAGAAACAGGGGAAACCATGAACGACCATACCGCCCGAGGATCGCTCCGCGCGACCAGGGCCACCGTAATTGCCACCACATCAGATCTCCGTCTCGCTCGCCCGAACGGAGTGACGAGGACGACCCCCACGGTCCCTTGTCACAAGCTATCATGGAGGCACCCATTTCCCCCCGGGCATGGAGAAGCCTCCCCACCTAAAGGAATACGACGACATCGCCGACCCCATCGACCATATAGACGGGTTTGAAGCCATGCTACACTATCACAATATCAGGGGACCAATTAAATGCCGGTTGTTCCCTATGACTCTGAGGAAAGCTGCGATTGACTGGTACAAAGGTCTCGCCCCAGGGTCAATTACCTCTTGGCGAAATCTGAAGAACCAATTCATCAGTTCATTCACTACTTCGCGATGACACCCGAAGACTGAAGCAGCCCTCGAGGCCATCGTCCAGAGACACGATGAGACCCTGAGGGAATTTATTGATCGGTTCAACTGGGAGGCCATCTAGGTCCCATGTACGGACACATGAAGATATACCTTCTCGGGAGGGGACTCCTCCCGGGCACAGAATTCAGAAAGGCCGTAGGCGTCGAACCACCCCGGACATTCGATGCCTTCCTCGAGAAGGTCAGAGCCTACATGGACTACAAAGAGAGAGAGAGAGAGAGAGAGAGAGAGAGAGAGAGAGAGAGAGAGAGAGAGAGAGAGAGAGAGAGAGAGAGGCGGCCAACAGAGCACGGGATCCCAAGAATCGCGGATCTACCAGTCATCCGCGACAAGACACCTCCCCTCCTTGATGAACTGGCGAGAAGAGAAGGGACGACAAACCCCGAGACGCCCGGGAACAAAGGGGACCCTCAGGGAGGTTCACTGGGTACACTCTGCTAACGGTTTCCTGCGAGCGCATCTTAGCGGAGTGCGCGAATATAGATTTCAAGGACGACGGTGTCAAGCATCCTCGCCCCGCTCCTGCTAAACCCGGGGTAGATCGAAGCAAGTACTGCCAGTATCATCAGAGCCATGGGCACTTGACCGAATATTGTGTCCATCTCAAGGACACCATCGAGACCCTCATAAAAGGGGGGAGAATCGGGAAATATCGGTGCGACGACGCCCCTCGTCGAGATACCCATGAAACAAGGGAAGTAGAGGAGGATGCCCGACCATCTGACGAGTCAGTCCCCATCTAAACCGCATTCTCCTTCTCGAGACCGGAGGACTTTTACGTCCCCGAACATATGCAAGAGCTTCTGTCTATGCACAGCAGGTGGGAAAACTTCCCCTCCGCCATGGTCATCAATGGTGGAGGGTTTAATGATTTTACCATAAATTGAGCAAAGAGGA